GCTTCGAGCTACCCACGCAGTTACCATGGGCACACGGGGCCACCTCCCATCTCCTGGGGACTGAGCGGGAAGAGATGCATGCGCAGTTGGAGGGTAGGGTGGGTTGGAAGACACCGAGGATTATCTCCCCTGCCTTCCCCAAGGACTGCTAAACCTGCGCTGGGGTGCCAGGGCTGGCAGCGAGCGAAAAGCGCGCATGCGCTGTTGGGGCACCAGGCGGCCCAGGGAATTCGCCCAGCGCTAATCTCAAGCCTGCGCAAATGCGGGCACTCCGCAGAGGGCAACCCTGCGCTTGCGCGGTGGGCGGTGAGAGAGCCCGATGTGGAGGGCCTTGGCTCGACGCGCCTGCGCCTTAGCTCGCTGGGGCGGTCGGGGGCGGAGCCCAACGAGGGACGTGAGAGAGTGGGGCGGAGATGGGGGGTGGGGGGGACCCAGAGAGGAGGCCGCAGAAGCCCAAGCCCAGCCTGACGGGCCGGAGGGGGCTGCGGCGGCGCCGGTGAGTGACCTGGGGCCCGACTCGGTCCTTACACTCCACGACCCTGACTCTTTCTCTGGAGTTCCCCACGACCCCCAGGTCCCCTTCCTGATCCAGAGTTTATTCCTCGAGTTCCTCTTAATAATTCCTGGTAACCCCAGGAGCCTTCCATGATCTCTGCAGACCTTATTCCTTAGTATTTTGTCGTCCCGGCTCCCCCACTGCCCCTGGAGCCCCCAGCTCATTGCTATACCTAGACATCGTCCCAGAAGCCCCTGCCCAGATTGGCCTTACAGCCCCCTTGCCCTGGAACCCCCAGGGCGCCCCTTTGCTCCAGGTCCCCCGTTTTACACCCTCCTGCAGCATCCTCTTACCCCATCACCCCATGCTTCTTCCACACCCCCATGCTCGCAAGCTTTCCCATCTCCCTGTGTCCCTGTTTTCCTCTAACTCTAGCAGACACCCCTCTTCCTCCTCCACTTCTCGTTTCCCTCCAGCCCCCCAGACCCTCCCCCGATTGCTGTAACTCCTGGGAGCTGCACTTTGGGGAAGCCCACGAGAGCGCAAGCGAGCGCTCGGCCGGACTCAGTTATTATTAGGCGTCCCCGACTGCTCCCCGCTCCACCCCGCGCGCCCTGCCCCCACTCCTGGCCCCCGGGGCAGCCGTGACTGTATCTGGGCGGCCGGGGTTGTTCGGGCAGCTTGGGGACGCCGCGCCCCCGCCAGCGCCGTGCGCCCTATGCCCGCAGCGCCAGCGCCCCCCATGCGCCTAGCAGCCGGACTGCGGCGGCGGGGGGCGCCATGGCCTCGGCGGCGGCGGCGGGCGAAGCGGAGGAGACCACCCGCCCGGCTGCGCAAGCCGCGCTTCTCGTTCGAGGAGAACCAGATCCTGATCCGCGAGGTCCGCGCTCACT